CCCGAGGGGCCACTTTAGCCAGCACCTGTGACAGGAGGTCATAGAAGGAATCTGACTCATCGGCTTTGCCTGCATCCCTCCACGGATGTTCATCTTCAGTGGGGGCATAAGTAACCACGACCACCATTCTGCGCCTCCAGTTGATGGGAAGGCGAGCCCAAAGTAGCCTGGGACTTACAGCTTCCCACACCTCACCGCCACGCTCCCACACCCCCTTCATTCTTTTGTTCAAAAGAAGAGCCACACCCTGTTGTTTGGTAGTCTGCTGCCCCGAGTAGAGGACTGTCCACCCTTCATGGTGGCAGGAGCCAGAACCGGTCCACCGGACCTCCTGAATGCCGCATAGATCCAGGCAGTACCGGTCCAGCTCCCGACAGAGGAGTGGCAGCCTCTCCTCCGCAGTGAGCGTTCGAACATTCCACGTGGCCACCCGTAGTGGTTTTTCGTTGTTTCTGGAGGAGCCCCGAGGGTAGATATTCAATCTCCTGGCTCCGCCAATTGGGGTTTGGCCAGGAGACGTCATAAACGCCTGGCCCCCCGGGGCCTCCGGCACAAGCTTATTAGTTATATATTTCAGTCGTAGTTTAGTGGTAATTAATTGAAGGTGGAGGGGTTACCAGCCCCTCGCACCCGTCCAGAGCCCCCGTTTAGCCCCTGTGGTGGTCACAGACGCCATGAGGGGAGGAACCAATCGAAATTGGACCTCCCCCCACAGCGCTGTCCACGACAGAGTTGCCCGTCCGGCACCGCGAGGAGGTAGGGGGTTGTTTTGCCGGACCACACGTGTACACACACCTGTACACACACACGTTTACACACACCTGTACACACACGTGTACACAAACCTGTACACACACGTGTACACACACCTGTACACACATGTGTACACAAACCTGTGCACACACGTGTACACACACCTGTACATACACGTGTACCTACATACGTGTACACACACCTGTACACACACCTACACACGTGTACATACACGTGTACACACACGTGTACACTCACCTGTACATACACGTGTACACTCACCTCTACACACACCTACACACGTGTACACACACCTCTACACACACCTACACACGTGTACACACACGTGTACACTCATCTACACACGTGTACACACACGTGTACACTCACCTGTACATACACGTGTACACTCACCTCTACACACACCTACACACGTGTACACACACCTGTACACACACCTACACACGTGTACACACACGTGTACACTCACCTGTACATACACGTGTACACACACCTGTACACACACCTACGCACGTGTACACACACCTACACACGTGTACACACACCTACACACGTGTAGACACACCTGTACACACACCTACACACCTGTACACACACCTGTACACACACCTGTACACACACCTACACACCTGTACACACACCTGTACACACACCTGTACACACACCTACACACGTGTACACACACGTGTACACACACCTACACACCTGTACACACACCTGTACACACACCTGTACACACACCTACACACCTGTACACACACCTGTATACACACCTACACACGTGTACACAGACGTGTACACACACCTACACACACCTGTACACACACCTACACACACCTGTACACACACCTACACACGTGTACACACACGTGTACACTCACCTGTACACACACCTACACACGTGTACACACACGTGTACACTCACCTGTACACACACCTACACACGTGTACACACACGTGTACACTCACCTGCACATACACGGCGGGCCGGGTTCGATGCCGGTGGCAATCTACCTGAAGCGGTCCTGGGCCTTCCCTAGGTCGACTCAGCCTCAAACGAGTAGCTGGTGTAGTGTAGCGGTGGTGGTGTGGTTGTGGTGGTGTAGTGGTGGTGTAGTGGTGGTGGTATAGTGGTGGTGGTGTAGTGGTGGTGGTGGTGGTGTAGCGGTGGTGGTGTAGTGGTGGTGATGATTGTGGTGGTGTAGTGGTGGTGTAGTGTAGTGGTGGTGTAGTGGTGGTGTAGTGGTGGTGTAGTGGTGGTGGTGGTGTAGCGGTGGTGGTGTAGCGGTGGTGGTGTAGTGGTGGTGATGATTGTGGTGGTGTAGTGGTGGTGTAGTGTAGTGGTGGTGTAGTGGTGGTGGTGGTGGTGTAGCGGTGGTGGTGTAGCGGTGGTGGTGTAGCGGTGGTGGTGTAGTGGTGTAGTGGTGGTGGTGTAGTGGTGGTGGTGTAGTGTAGTGGTGGTGCAGTGGTGGTGCAGTGGTGGTGGTGTAGTGGTGGTGGTGTAGTGGTGGTGGTGTAGTGTAGTGGTGGTGGTGGTGTTGTAGCGGTGTAGTGTAGTGGTGGTGGTGTAGTGTAGTGGTGGTGGTGGTGTAGTGTAGTGGTGGTGGTGGTGTAGTGGTGGTGTAGTAGTGGTGGTAGTGTAGTGGTGAACATTGCTAGCACTGGGGGAGAGACAAAGGCGGCCGGGCGTGGTGCTGGCCACCCACCCCCTCTGTGTTTGCCACAGTGCCGGTAGCCTTCACAGGTAGCGCTGCTGTTACTAACAGCACTTGCCCCTACAGCCTGCTAGAGGCTACACGGGGGACCTTTGTCTGTGTCTACCTGCATAGACGCTGCTGCTGCTGCTACTCGCTCCTAACAGCACTTGCCCCTACAGCCTGTTAGAGGCTACACGGGGGACCTTTGTCTTTGGTGGTGGTGTTGTTGTTTTGGGTGGTGACTTTGGTGGTAGTGGTGTTGGTTTCGATGGTGATTTTGGTGGTGGTAGTGGTGGTGGTGTTGGTGATGGTGGTGTTGATGGTTGTGTTGGTGGTGGTGTTCGTGGTAGTGGTGTTGATTTGCGTGGTGATTTTGGTGGTGGTGTTGGTGGTGATGTTGGTCGTGGTGGTGGTAGTGGTGGTGGTAGTGGCGTGGGCTTGGTGGTGGTGGTGGTAGTGGTGGTGGTATTGATGTTGGTTTGCGTGGTGATTTTGGTGGTGGTGGTAGTGGTGGTGGTATTGATGTTGGTTTGCGTGGTGATTTTGGTGGTGGTGGTAGTGGTGGTGGTATTGATGTTGGTTTGCGTGGTGATTTTGGTGGTGGTGGTAGTGGTGGTGGTATTGATGTTGGTTTGCGTGGTGATTTTGGTGGTGGTGGTGGTAGTGGTGGTGGTATTGATGTTGGTTTGCGTGGTGATTTTGGTGGTGGTGGTATTGGTGTCATTATTGGTCGTGGTGGTGGTATTAGTGGTGTTGGTGGTGGTATTAGTGGTGGTGGTGGTATCAGTGGTGTTGGTGGTATCAGTGGTGGTGGTATTAGTGGTGGTGGTATTAGTGGTGGTGGTGGTGGTGGTATCAGTGGTGGTGGTATTAGTGGTGCTATTATTGGTGTTGGTGGTGGTGGTATCAGTGGTGTTGGTGGTGGTATTAGTAGTGGTGGTGGTATTAGTGGTGGTATTAGTGGTGTTGGTGGTGGTGTTCGTGGTGGTGGTATTAGTGGTGTTGGTGGTATTAGTGGTGGTGGTGTTAGTGGTGTTAGTGGTGTTAGTGGTGTTGGTGGTGGTGGTTGTGGTGTTAGTGGTGTTGGTGGTGGTGGTATTAGTGGTGTTAGTGGTGGTGGTGGTATTAGTAGTGTTGGTGGTGGTATTAGTGGTGGTTGTGGTGTTAGTGGTGTTGGTGGTGGTATTGGTGTTGTTGTTGTTGGTGGTGGTATTAGTGGTGGTGGTGGTATTAGTGGTGTTGGTGGTGGTATTGGTGTTGTTGTTGTTGGTGGTGGTATTAGTGGTGGTGGTGGTATTAGTGGTGTTGGTGGTGGTATTGGTGTTGTTGTTGGTGGTATTGTTGTTGTTGTTGGTGGTGGTATTGTTGTTGTTGGCGGTGGTCGTATTGTTGTTGTTGGTGGTATTGTTGTTGGTGGTATTGTTGTTGTTGGTGGTGGTATTGTTGTTGTTGTTGTTGGTGGTATTGTTGTTGGTGTTGGTGGTGGTGGTATTGTTGTTGTTGTTGTTCGTGGTATTGTTGTTGTTGTTGTTCGTGGTATTGTTGTTGTTGGTGGTGGTATTGTTGTTGTTGGTGGTGGTATTGTTGTTGTTGGTGGTGGTATTGTTGTTGTTGGTGGTGGTATTGTTGTTGGTGTTGGTGGTGGTATTGTTGTTTTTGTTGGTGGTGGTATTGTTGTTGTTGTTGTTGGTGGTGGTGGTATTGTTGTTGTTGGTGGTGGTATTGTTGTTGGTGTTGGTGGTGGTATTAGTGGTGTTGGTGGTGGTGGTATTGTTGTTGGTGGTGGTATTGTTGTTGTTGTTGGTGGTGGTATTGTTGTTGTTGGTGGTGGTATTGTTGTTGTTGGTGGTGGTGGTATTGTTGTTTTTGTTGGTGGTGGTATTGTTGTTGTTGGTGGTGGTGGTATTGTTGTTGTTGGTGGTGGTATTGTTGTTGGTGTTGGTGGTGGTATTGTTGTTGTTGTTGGTGGTGGTGGTATTGTTGTTGGTGGTGGTATTGTTGTTGTTGTTGGTGGTATTGTTGTTGTTGTTGGTGGTGGTATTGTTGTTGTTGTTGGTGGTGGTATTGTTGTTGGTGGTGGTTTTGTTGTTGTTGGTGGTGGTATTGTTGTTGTTGGTGGTGGTATTGTTGCTGTTGTTGTTGGTGGTGGTATTGTTGTTGTTGGTGGTGGTATTGTTGTTGTTGGTGGTGGTGGTATTGTTGTTGTTGTTGGTGGTATTGTTGTTGTTGTTGGTGGTGGTATTAGTGGTGTTGGTGGTGGTATTGGTTTTGTTGTTGTTGGTGGTGGTATTGTTGTTGTTGTTGGTGGTGGTATTGTTGTTGGTGGTGATATTGTTGTTGGTGGTGGTATTGTTGTTGTTGGTGGTGGTATTGGTGTAGAGACGACGTCACGTAGGGCTGAGGCATCGTCGTCATCACCACATTGATGCTCATCCAGCAGTGGATAGACCCTCGTGATGTCACTGATCACCCCACCCCCTCCCCCACTCCCCCCCCCCCCAACACCACCATCCGTCTTTGTATCCCCAGAATGGGCGCCCTCCAGGGAGGTGGAGACTCTGGTCCCCACGACGGAGGAGAATCTGGGCCCCACGACGGAGGAGAATCTGGACCCCACGCTGGAGGAGACTCTGGACCCCACGACGGAGGAGACTCTTGGCCCCACGGCGAAGGAGAATCTGGGCCCCACGACGGAGGAGACTCTGGACCCCACGACGGAGGAAACTCTGGGCCCCACGACGGAGGAGACTCTGGGCCCCACGACGGAGGAGACTCTGGGCCCCACCGCAGAGGAGATTCTTGGCCCCACAACGGAGGAGACTCTGGACCCCACGACGGAGGGGACTCTGGACCCCACGACAGAGGAGACTCTGGACCCCACGCTGGAGGAGACTCTGGACCCCACGACGGAGGAGACTCTGGGCCCCACGACAGAGGAGAATCTGGGCCCCACGGCGAAGGAGACTCTGGGCCCCACGACGGAGGAGATTCTTGGCCCCACAACGGAGGAGACTCTGGACCCCACGACGGAGGAGAATCTGGGCCCCACGGCGAAGGAGACTCTGGTCCCCACGACGGAGGAGACTCTGGGCCCCACGACGGAGGAGACTCTGGGCCCCACGACGGAGGCGATTCTTGGCCCCACAACGGAGGAGACTCTGGTCCCCACGACGGAGGAGACTCTGGGCCCCACGGCGGAGGAGATTCTGGACCCCACCGCGGAGGAGACTCTGGGCCCCACGGCGGAGGAGACTCTGGGCCCCACGGCGGAGGAGACTCTGGACCCCACGTCAAAGGGGCCCCTGGAGGAGGAGCCCCTGGCGGAGGAGCCCCTGGCGGAGGAGCCCCTGGCGGAGGAGCCCCTGGCGGAGGCCCCGTGCCCGCTCGGATTCTTCCCGTGCGGTAACCTCAGCCACTGCCTGCCACAGACGTTGCACTGCAACGGGGCGCAGGAGTGCGAGAACGGAGCCGACGAGGAGGACTGCGGTAGGGCACGCTACAGGCACACCACACCAGCACTACAGGCACACCTACAGGCACACTACACCAGCACTACAGCAGCACACTACACCAGCACTACAGGCACACTACAGGCACACTACAGGCACACTACAGCAGCACACTACACCAGCACTACAGGCACACTACAGGCACACTACAGGCACACTACAGACACACTACAGGCACACTACAGGCACACTACACCAGCACTACAGGCACACCTACAGGCACACTACACCAGCACTACAGGCACACTACACCAGCACTACAGGCACACTACAGGCACACTACACCAGCACTACAGGCACACTACAGGCACACTACACCAGCACTACAGGCACACTACACCAGCACTACAGCAGCACGCTACAGGCACACTACAGGCACACTACAGGCACACTACAGACACACTACAGGCACGCTACAGGCACACTACAGGCACACTACAGCAGCACACTACACCAGCACTACAGGCACACTACAGGCACACTACAGGCACACTACAGGCACACTACAGCAGCACTACAGCACACTACAGACACACTACAGGCACACTACAGCAGCACACTACACCAGCACTACAGGCACACTACAGGCACACTACAGACACACTACAGGCACACTACAGGCACACTACAGCAGCACACTACACCAGCACTACAGGCACACTACAGGCACACTACAGACACACTACAGGCACACTACAGACACACTACAGACACACTACAGGCACACTACAGCAGCACTACAGGCACACTACAGACACACTACAGGCACACTACAGGCACACTACACCAGCACTACAGGCACACTACAGGCACACTACAGGCACACTACACCAGCACTACAGGCACACTACAGGCACACTACACCAGCACTACAGGCACACTACAGGCACACTACAGGCACACTACACCAGCACTACAGGCACACTACAACAGCACTACAGGCACACTACAGGCACGTTACAGGCACACTACAGCACACTACAGACACACTACAGACACACTACAGACACACTACAGGCACACTACAGCAGCACACTACAGACACACTACAGGCACACTACAGGCACACTACAGACACACTACAGACACACAACAGACACACTTCAGACACACTACAGGCACACTACACCAGCACTACAGGCACACTACAGACACACTACAGACACACTACAGACACACTACAGGCACGCTACAGGCACACTACAGCAGCACTACAGTCACACTACAGCAGCACACTACAGCAGCACTACAGGCACACTACAGGCACACTACAGGCACGCTACAGGCACGCCACAGGCACGCCACAGGCACACTACAGACACACTACATGCATGCTACAGGCACACTACAGCAGCACTACAGGCACACTACAGACACACTACAGGCACACTACAGCAGCACACTACAGACACACTACAGGCACACTACAGGCACACTACAGACACACTACAGACACACAACAGACACACTTCAGACACACTACAGGCACACTACACCAGCACTACACCAGCACTACAGCACACTACAGACACACTACAGACACACTACAGACACACTACAGGCACGCTACAGGCACACTACAGCAGCACTACAGTCACACTACAGCAGCACACTACAGCAGCACTACAGGCACACTACAGGCACGCTACAGGCACGCCACAGGCACGCCACAGGCACACTACAGACACACTACATGCATGCTACAGGCACACTACAGCAGCACTACAGGCACACTACAGACACACTACAGGCACACTACAGCAGCACACTATAGGCACACTACAGGCACACTACAGAAGCACTACAGGCACGCTACAGGCACACTCACCCCACCCTTCGCCACCCCCCCTCCCCCCACCTCCTCACTCCCCCCACATCCACCACTCTCTTCTCCCCACCTCCCTCCCCCCACCACACCCTTCTCCCACCCCCACCCCTCCCCCCACCCTCCCCCCACCCACCCTCCCCCCACCCTCCCCCCCACCCTCCCCCCATCCTCCCCCCACCCTCCCCCCACCCTCCCCCCATCCTCCCCCCACCCTCCCCCCACCCACCCCCCAGGTGATAACAGCGGGTGGCCGCAGTTCTTTGATGAATTCTTCCCCTACCCCAGCGTCCACCAGCACCACCACCTCCACGTGGAGGCCTGCGGTCAGCACCACCACCACCACCAACTCTGTTGTTGTAATAGGTTTTACCCTTTTAACTGGCACAAAAACGGACACCTTTATTCAAGGCATCATGTTTGCAATAACCACAACACAAGCAGTCCAACACCAGTGGAGACTAGGCTCTAAGAAAAGCCGTCTCGGGTGTGGACCAATCAAATTCAAGGACAGTGCCAATAATATTATTATCAGAGTTGTCTTTTTTGTTTGCATTTTGACTGCTTGTGTTGTGGTTATTGCAAACATGATGCCTTGAATAAAGGTGTCAGTTTTTGTGCCAGTTAAAAGGGTAAAACCTATTACTATATCTTGTTACTGGCAAAGGAGGTCTCATAATGTAAACTCTGTTGTTGTTATTATTATTCTTGGTTCTTTGGGTAAAGTCACCACCACGTAGAAGGGAAACAATAAAATAATACAAATATAAAACAATAAAATTCTTGTAAAACAATTAAATTATTATTCTTGGTTCTTTCGGTAAAGTCACCACCACGTAGAAGGGAAACAATAAAATAATAAAAATATAAAACAATAAAATTATTGTAAAACAATAAAATTATTATTCTTGGTTCTTTCGGTAAAGTCACCACCACGTAGAAGGGAAACAATAAAATAATACAAATATAAAACAATAAAATTATTGTAAAACAATAAAATTATTATTCTTGGTTCTTTCGATAAAGTCACCACCACTTGGAAGGGAAACAATAAAATAATAAAAATATAAAACAATAAAAATATAGTAAAACAATAAAATTATTATTCTTGGTTCTTTCGGTAAAGTTACCACCACGTAGAAGGGAAACAATAAAATAATAAAAATATAAAACAATACAATTATTGTAAAACAATAAAATTATTATTCTTGGTTCTTTGGGTAAAGTCACCACCACGTAGAAGGGAAACAATAAAATAATAAAAATATAAAACAATAAAATTATTGTAAAACAATAAAATTATTATTCTTGGTTCTTTCGATAAAGTCACCACCACTTAGAAGGGAAACAATAAAATAATAAAAATATAAAACAATAAAATTATTGTAAAACAATAAAATTATTATTCTTGGTTCTTTCGGTAAAGTCACCACCACGTAGAAGGGAAACAATAAAATAATAAAAATATAAAACAATACAATTATTGTAAAACAATAAAATTATTATTCTTGGTTCTTTGGGTAAAGTCACCACCACGTAGAAGGGAAACAATAAAATAATAAAAATATAAAACAATAAAATTATTATTCTTGGTTCTTTCGGTAAAGTCACCACCACGTAGAAGGGAAACAATAAAATAATAAAAATATAAAACATAAAATTATTATTCTTGGTTCTTTGGGTAAAGTCACCACCACGTAGAAGGGAAACAATAAAATAATAAAAATATAAAACAATAAAATTATTGTAAAACAATAAAATTATTATTCTTGGTTCTTTCGGTAAAGTCACCACCACGCAGAAGTGGAAACAATAAAATTATAAAAAAATATAAAACAATAAAAGTCTCACGACGTTTCGACTGCAACACAAGAAGCAATCATCATCAGGTGATAAAATTTTCTTGCTGTGGTTTTCACACCTGATGATGATTGCTGCTTGTGTTGCAGTCGAAACGTCGTGAGAATTTTATTGTTTTATATATTTTATTATTTTATTGTTTCCCTTCTTACGTGGTGGTGACTTTACCGAAAGAACCAAGAATAATAATTGTATTGTTTTACAATAATTTTATTGTTTTATATATTTTTATTATTTTATTGTTTCTCTTCTACGTGGTGGTGATTTTACCGAAAGAACCAAAGAATAATAATTTTATTTTTTACAATAATTTTATTGTTTTATATTTTTATTATTTTATTGTTTCCCTTCTTACGTGGTGGTGACTTTACCGAAAGAACCAAAGAATATGAATCACTGCAGTCACGAAAGCTTTAAATAAAAATTTAAAAAATCTGTTGTTGTTGTCTTGTAACTCAATGTTAACCCACTTCCCAATGTGGTATCGACTGTAAACTTGTTATACTTATGTCATACTGATGACAATACTATATTATATCGTTAAAAATTAAAAAAAAACTATTTAACATTAATGTTTATATGTTTCGGCTTTGGTTTTGGCAAGCTTCATGAAGTCTGCCATTACGAGTACATCTTATTAAAGCGTGTTTTAAAAAAAAAAATATATTTTTAAAATATAACTTATTTTCCACGTGTATATTTGTGTTTATAGATTTGTATAAATATACATGTATTTATAAATCTATTTATCTACGTGTGTGTGTTAATATACACGTATTTATACATCTATTTATTAATGCGTGTGTATTAATATACGTTTATTTATGTAATTACAAATGAATATTAACATATTTATATAAATATAACTGTCTTTTAATAGGTATTTATACATGTATATATTTACGTATGTATATATTTCTCTATATATAAATATAACTGCATTTACAAATGTATTTTTATATATTTGTAACTGAATTTTTTTTTCACTTCATTGTATTTACGTATCAATTTATATATTTGTATAAATATATATTTATTTATATACATTTTTAACATGTCTTTATATATTGTATATATGAATATAAATGTAGTTATATTTGTTTTTGTCTATTTGTATATATAGACATTTTGTGAAATATTTATTTATTTATATTGGTGGTGGTTACCTGGGGGGTCATTTGCCTCTACCACTACTAAGAGCACTTGCCCCGACAACCCGTGGTGGTTACCTGGGTGCCCCTTTGCCTGTACCACTACTAAGAGCACTTGCCCCTGCTGCGCGTGGTGGCTACCTGGGTGCCCCTTTGCCTGTACCACTACTAAGAGCACTTGCCCCCGACAGCCCGTGGTGGTTACCTGGGTGCCCCTTTGCCTCTACCACTACTAAGAGCACTTGGCCCCGCTGCCCGTGATGGTTACCTGGGCCCCTTTGCCTGTACCACTACTAAGAGCACTTGCCCCTGACAGCCCGTGGTGGTTACCTGGGGGCACCTTTGCCTCTACCACTACTAAGAGCACTTGGCCCCGCTGCCCGTGGTGGTTACCTGGGGCCCCTTTGCCTGTACCACTACTAAGAGCACTTGCCCCTGACAGCCCGTGGTGGTTACCTGTGTGCACCTTTGCCTCTACCACTACTAAGAGCACTTGCCCCCGACAGCCCGTGATGGTTAACTGGGTGCCCCTTTGCCTCTACCACTACTAAGAGCACTTGGCCCCGCTGCCCGTGATGGTTACCTGGGTGCCCCTTTGCCTCTACCACTACTAAGAGCACTTGCCCCTGACAGCCCGTGGTGGTTACCTGGATGCCCCTTTGCCTGTACCACTACTAAGAGCACTTGGCCCCGCTGCCCGTGATGGTTACCTGGGTGCCCCTTTGCCTCTACCACTACTAAGAGCACTTGCCCCTGCTGCGCATGGTGGCTACCTGGGTGCCCCTTTGCCTCTACCACTACTAAGAGCACTTGCCCCTGACAGCCCGTGGTGGTTACCTGGGTGCCCCTTTGCCTCTAGCACTACTAAGAGCACTTGCCCCCGACAGCCCGTGATGGTTAACTGGGTGCCCCTTTGCCTCTAGCACTACTAAGAGCACTTGCCCCCGACAGCCCGTGGTGGTTACCTGGGTGCCCCTTTGCCTCTAGCACTACTAAGAGCACTTGCCCCTGCTGCGCGTGGTGGTTACCTGGGGCCCCTTTGCCTGTACCACAACTAAGAGCACTTGCCCCTGCCGCGTGTGGTGGTTATCTGGGTGCACCTTTGCCTCTAGCACTACTAAGAGCACTTGCCCCTGCTGCCCGTGGTGGTTACCTGGGTGCCCCTTTGCCTCTACCACTACTAAGAGCACTTGGCCCCGCTGCCCGTGATGGTTACCTGGGTGCCCCTTTGCCTCTACCACTACTAAGAGCACTTGCCCCCGACAGCCCGTGATGGTTACCTGGGTGCCCCTTTGCCTCTACCACTACTAAGAGCACTTGGCCCCGCTGCCCGTGGTAGTTACCTGGATGCCCCTTTGCCTGTACCACTAGTAAGAGCACTTGCCCCCGCTGCGCGTGGTGGTTACCTGGGTGCCCCTTTGCCTCTACCACTACTAAGAGCACTTGGCCCCGCTGCCCGTGGTGGTTACCTGGGGCCCCTTTGCCTGTGCGCTGCGTAGAGTTGCCCCTGCTGCCCGTGGTGGTTACCTGGGTGCCCCTTTGCCTCTACCACTACTAAGAGCACTTGCCCCCGCTGCGCGTGGTGGTTACCTGGGGCCCCTTTGCCTGTGCGCTGCGTAGAGTTGCCCCTGCTGCCCGCCGTCTGCGAGTGCCAGGGCAGTGCCGTGGACTGCGACGGCGTCGGACTCCATGCCGTGCCGATCGTCGCGCACAACGCCACCCTCATGTGGGTGGGGGTGGGTGGGTGGGTGGGGGGGAGACCCTCTAACTCCTGAACCCTGACCCCTGACCCCTGAACCTAACCCCAAACCCTGAGATTGCCCTAAGTCTGACTTAGCCCTAAGCCTAACCCTGGCCAAACCCTAACCCTGGCGTAGCCCTAACCCTGGCCTAGCCCTAACCCTAACCCTGGCCTAACCCTAACCCTAACCCCAAACTCTGACTTAGCCCTAACCCTGACTTAGCCCTAACCCTGACTTAGCCCTAACCCTGACATAGCCCTAACCCTGGCCTAGCCCTAACCCTGACTTAGCCCTAACGTTGGCCTAGCCCTAACCCTGACTTAGCCCTAACCCTGACTTAGCCCTAACCCTCACTTAGCCCTAACCCTGACTTAGCCCTAACTCTGACTTAGCCCTAACCCTGACCTGGCCCTAACCCTGACTTAGCCCTAACTCTGACTTAGCCCTAACCCTGACTTAGCCCTAACCCTCACTTAGCCCTAACTCTGACTTAGCCCTAACCCTGACTTAGCCCTAACTCTGACTAACCCTGTCTTAGCCCTAACCCTGACTTAGCCCTAACCCTGACTTAGCTCTAACCCTGACTTAGCCCTAACCCTGACTTAGCCCTAACTCTGACTTAGCCCTAACCCTGACTTAGCCTTAACCCTGGCCTAGCCCTAACTCTGACTTAGCCCTAACTCTGACTTAGCCCTAACCCTGACTTAGCCCTAACTCTGACTTAGCCCTAACCCTGACTTAGCCCTAACCCTGACATAGCCCTAACTCTGACTTAGCCCTAACCCTGACTTAGCCCTAACTCTGACTTAGCCCTAACCCTGACTTAGCCCAAACTCTGACTTAGCCCTAACCCTGGCCTAGCCCTAACCCTGACTTAGCCCTAACCCTGACTTAGCCCTAACCCTGACTTAGCTCTAACCCTGACATAGCCCTAACCCTGACATAGCCCTAACCCTGACTTAGCCCTAACCCTGACTTAGCCCTAACTCTGACTTAGCCCTAACTCTGGCCTAACCCTAACCCTGGTAAAACGCTAACCCCGACCTAGCCCGAGCCCTAACCCCAAACTCTGACTTAGCCCTAACCCTGAATTAGCCCTAACCCTGACTTAGCCCTAACCCTGACTCAGCCCTAACCCTGACTTAGCCCTAACTCTGACTTAGCCCTAACTCTGACTTAGCCCTAACCCTGACTTAGCCCTAACTCTGACATAGCCCTAACCCTGACTTAGCCCTAACTCTGACTTAGCCCTAACCCTGACTTAGCCCAAACTCTGACTTAGCCCTAACCCTGGCCTAGCCCTAACCCTGACTTAGCCCGAACCCTGACTTAGCCCTAACCCTGACTTAGCTCTAACCCTGACATAGCCCTAACTCTGACTTAGCCCTAACTCTGACTTAGCCCTAACCCTGACTTAGCCCTAACCCTGACTTAGCCCTAACCCTGACTTAGCCCTAACCCTGACTTAGCCCTAACCCTGACTTAGCCCTAACTTTGACTTAGCCCTAACCCTGACTTAACCCTAGCTCGAACCTAACCCTGGCCTAACGCTAACCCTGACCTAGCCCTAACCCTGACCCTGGCCTAACGCTAACCCTGACCTAGCCCTAACTCTAACCCTGGCCTAACGCTAACCCCGAACTAGCCCTAACCCTGGCCTAACTCTAACCCTGACCTAATGCTAACCCTGAACTAGCCCTAACCCTAACCCTGCCATAACGCTAACCCTGGCCTAACGCTAACCCTGACCTAGCCCTAACCCTAACCCTGGCCTAACCCTAACCCTGACCTAGCTCGAACCCTAACCCTGACCTAACGCTAACCTCGACCTAGCCCTAACCCTAACCCTGGCCTAACGCTAACCCTGAACTAGCTCTAACCCAGGCCTAACGCTAACCCTGAACTAGCCCGAACCCTGGGCTAATGCTAACCCTGAACTAGCCCTTACCCCGAACTAGCCCTAACCCTGACCTAGCCCTAACCCTGACCCTGGCCTAACGCTAACCCCGAACTAGCCCTAACCCTAACCTTGGCCTAACCCTAACCCAGGCCTAACCCTGACCCTGGCCTAACGCTAACCCTGGCCTAACCCTAACCCTAACCCTGGCCTATTGCTAACCCTGGCCTAACCCTAACCCTAACCCTGCCCTAACCCTAACCCTGGCCTAACGCTAAACCTGACCTAATGCTAACCCTGACCTAGCCCTAACCCTAACCCTGGCCTAACGCTAACCCTGACCTAATGCTAACCCTGACCTAGCCCTAACCCTAACCCTGCCCTAACCCTAACCCTGGCCTAACGCTAACCCTGACTTAATGCTAACCCTGACCTAACCCTAACGCTGGCCTAACGCTAACCCTGACCTAGCCCTAACCCTAACCCTGACCTAACGCTAACCCTGAACTTGCCCTAACGCTAACCCCGGCCTAACGCTAACCCTGACCTAGCCCTAACCCTGACCTAGCCCTAACCCTAACCCTGGCCTAACGCTAACCCTGGCCTAACGCTAACCCTGACCTAACCCTGACCTAGCCCTAACCCTAACCCTGGCCTAACGCTAACCCTGACCTAGCCCTAACCCTGACCTAGCCCTAACCCTGACCTAGCCCTAACCCTAACCCTGGCCTAACGCTAACCCTGACCTAGCCCTAACCCTGACCTAACGCTGACCTAGCCCTAACCCTAACCCTGGCCTAACGCTAACCCTGGCCTAACGCTAACCCTGGCCTAACGCTAACCCTGACCTAGCCCTAACCCTGACCTAGCCCTAACCCTAACCCTGGCCTAACGCTAACCCTGACCTAGCCCTAACCCTGACCTAGCCCTAACCCTGACCTAGCCCTAACTCTGACCTAGCCCTAACCCTAACGCTGACCTAACGCTAACCCTGAACTAGCCCTAACCCTGGCCTAACGCTAACCCTGGCCTAACCCTGACCCTGGCCTAACCCTAACCCTGACCTAACGCTAACCCTGACCTAGCCCTAACTTGAACACACACGAACCCCCCTTCCCCTACCCGCTCCCTTGCCGCAGATCTCTGAACAGTAACTTCATCAGTCGCCTGCCGGACTTCTCCTTCCGGGCACACGGTCAGCTGCAGAAGCTGTGAGTCCACGCATGTAGCACACGCGTGTAGCACACATGTATGTATCACACGCATGTATCACACATGTATGTATCACACGCATGTACAGCGCGCGTGTAGCACACACGTGTAGCACACATGTATGTATCACACGCATGTATCACACATGTATGTATCACACGCATGTACAGCGCGCGTGTAGCACACGCGTGTAGCACACATGTATGTACCACACGCATGTATCACACATGTATGTACCACACGCATGTAGCACACATGTATGTATCACACGCATGTATCACACATGTATGTATCACACGCATGTATCACACATGTATGTATCACACGCATGTACAGCGCGCGTGTAGCACACGCGTGTAGCACACATGTATGTACCACACGCATGTATCACACATGTATGTACCACACGCATGTATCACACATGTATGTATCACACGAATGTACCACACATGTATGTATCACACGCATGTACAGCACGCGTGTAGCACACACGTGTAGCACACATGTATGTATCACACGCATGTATCACACATGTATGTATCACACGCGTGTAGCACACATGTATGTATCACACGCATGTACAGCGCGCGTGTAGCACACACGTGTAGCACACATGTATGTATCACACGCATGTATCACACATGTATGTATCACACGCATGTACAGCGCGCGTGTAGCACACGCGTGTAGCACACATGTATGTACCACACGCATGTATCACCCATGTATGTACCACACGCATGTAGCACACATGTATGTATCACACGCATGTATCACACATGTATGTATCACACGCATGTATCACACATGTATGTATCACACGCATGTACAGCGCGCGTGTAGCACACGCGTGTAGCACACATGTATGTATCACACGCATGTACAGCGGCGCGTGTAGCGCACACATGTACCACACGCATGTAGCACACATGTATGTACCACACACATGTATCACACATGTATGTACCACACGCATGTATCACACATGTATGTACCACACGCATGTATCACACATGTATGTATCACACGCATGTATCACACATGTATGTATCACACGCATGTATCACACATGTATGTATCACACGCATGTATCACACATGCATGTACCACACGCATGTAGCACACATGTATGTACCACACGCATGTATCACACATGTATGTACCACACGCATGTATCACACATGTATGTACCACACGCATGTATCACACATGTATGTATCACACGCATGTACCACACATGTATGTATCACACGCATGTATCCCACGAGTATGTATCACACGCATGTATCTAACATGTATGTATCACACGCATGTACAGCGCGCGTGTAGCACACGCATGTATCACACATGTATGTACCACACACATGTATCACACATGTATGTATCACACGCATGTGCCACACATGTATGTACCACATGCATGTATCACACATGTATGCATCATACGCATGTATCACACATGTATGTACCACACGCATGTATCACACATGTATGTACCACACTCATGTATCACACATGTATGCACCACACGCATGTATCACACATGTATGTATCACACGCATGTGCCACACATGTATGTACCACACGCATGTATCACACATGTATGTATCACACGCATGTGCCACACATGTATGTACCACACGCATGTATCACACATGTATGTACCACACGCATGTATCACACATGTATGTATCACACGCATGTGCCACACATGTATGTACCACACGCATGTATCACACATGTATGTACCACACGCGTGTATCTCACATGTATGTATCGCACGCATGTATCACACATGTATGTACCACACGCATGTAGCACACATGTATGTACCACACGCATGTATCACACATGTATGTACCACGCTCATGTATCACACATGTATGTACCACACGCATGTATCACACGTGTATGTACCACACGCATGTATCTCACATGTATGTATCACACACATGTATCACACATGTATGTACCACACTCATGTATCACACATGTATGTACCACACGCATGTACCACTCATGTATGTACCACACGCATGTAGCACACATGTATGTACCACACGCATGTATCACACATGTATGTACCACACGCATGTATCTCACATGTATGTATCACACGCATGTATCACACATGTATGTACCACACTCATGTATCACACATGTATGTATCACACGCATGTATCACACATGTATGTATCACACGCATGTATCACACATGTATGTATCACACGCATGTACAGCGCGCGTGTACCACACGCATGTATCACACATGTATGTATCACACGCATGTACAGCGGCGCGTGTAGCACACACATGTACCACACACATGTAGCACACATGTATGTACCACACACATGTATCACACATGTATGTACCACACGCATGTATCACACATGTATGTACCACACGCATGTATCACACATGTATGTATCACACGCATGTATCACACATGTATGTATCACACGCATGTATCACACATGTATGTATCACACGCATGTATCACACATGTATGTATCACACGCATGTATCACACATGCATGTACCACACGCATGTAGCACACATGTATGTACCACACGCATGTATCACACATGTATGTACCACACGCATGTATCACACATGTATGTACCACACGCATGTAGCACACATGTATGTATCACACGTATGTATCACACATGTATGTACCACACTCATGTATCACACCTGTATGTATCACACGCATGTACAGCGCGCGTGTAGCACACGCGTGTATCACACATGTATGTACCATGCTCATGTATCACACATGTATGTATCACACGCATGTATCACACATGTATGTACCACACGCATGTATCACACATGTATGTACCACACGCATGTATCACACATGTATGTACCACACGCATGTATCACACATGTATGTATCACACGCATGTACAGCGCACGTGTACCACACGCATGTGCCACACATGTATGTATCACACGCATGTGCCACACATGTATGTACCACACGCATGTATCACACATGTATGTATCACACGCATGTGCCACACATGTATGTACCACACGCATGTATCACACATGTATGTATCACACGCATGTGCCACACATGTATGTACCACACGCATGTATCACACATGTATGTACCACACGCATGTATCACACATGTATGTATCACACGCATGTGCCACACATGTATGTACCACACGCATGTATCACACATGTATGTACCACACGCGTGTATCTCACATGTATGTATCGCACGCATGTATCACACATGTATGTACCACACGCATGTATCACACATGTATGTACCACGCTCATGTATCACACATGTATGTACCACACGCATGTATCACACGTGTATGTACCACACGCATGTATCTCACATGTATGTATCACACACATGTATCACACATGTATGTACCACACTCATGTATCACACATGTATGTACCACACGCATGTACCACTCATGTATGTACCACACGCATGTAGCACACATGTATGTACCACACGCATGTATCACACATGTATGTACCACACGCATGTATCACACGTGTATGTACCACACGCATGTATCACACATGTATGTACCACACTCATGTATCACACATGTATGTATCACACGCATGTATCACACATGTATGTATCACACGCATGTATCACACATGTATGTATCACACGCATGTACAGCGCGCGTGTACCACACGCATGTATCACACATGTATGTATCACACGCATGTACAGCGGCGCGTGTAGCACACACATGTACCACACACATGTAGCACACATGTATGTACCACACACATGTATCACACATGTATGTACCACACGCATGTATCACACATGTATGTACCACACGCATGTATCACACATGTATGTATCACACGCATGTATCACACATGTATGTATCACACGCATGTATCACACATGTATGTATCACACGCATGTATCACACATGTATGTATCACACGCATGTATCACACATGCATGTACCACACGCATGTAGCACACATGTATGTACCACACGCATGTATCACACATGTATGTACCACACGCATGTATCACACATGTATGTACCACACGCATGTAGCACACATGTATGTATCACACGTATGTATCACACATGTATGTACCACACTCATGTATCACACCTGTATGTATCACACGCATGTACAGCGCGCGTGTAGCACACGCGTGTATCACACATGTATGTACCATGCTCATGTATCACACATGTATGTATCACACGCATGTATCACACATGTATGTACCACACGCATGTATCACACATGTATGTACCACACGCATGTAGCACACATGTATGTACCACACGCATGTATCACACATGTATGTATCACACGCATGTACAGCGCACGTGTACCACACGCATGTGCCACACATGTATGTATCACACGCATGTGCCACACATGTATGTACCACACGCATGTATCACACATGTATGTATCACACGCATGTGCCACACATGTATGTACCACACGCATGTATCACACATGTATGTATCACACGCATGTGCCACACATGTATGTACCACACGCATGTATCACACATGTATGTACCACACGCATGTATCACACATGTATGTATCACACGCATGTGCCACACATGTATGTACCACACGCATGTATCACACATGTATGTACCACACGCGTGTATCTCACATGTATGTATCGCACGCATGTATCACACATGTATGTACCACACGCATGTAGCACACATGTATGTACCACACGCATGTATCACACATGTATGTACCACGCTCATGTATCACACGTGTATGTACCACACGCATGTATCACACGTGTATGTACCACACGCATGTATCTCACATGTATGTATCACACACATGTATCACACATGTATGTACCACACTCATGTATCACACATGTATGTACCACACGCATGTACCACACATGTATGTACCACACGCATGTAGCACACATGTATGTACCACACGCATGTATCACACATGTATGTACCACACGCATGTATCTCACATGTATGTATCACACGCATGTATCACACATGTATGTACCACACTCATGTATCACACATGTATGTATCACACGCATGTATCACACATGTATGTATCACACACATGTATCACACATGTATGTATCACACGCATGTACAGCGCGCGTGTACCACACGCATGTATCACACATGTATGTATCACACGCATGTACAGCGGCGCGTGTAGCACACACATGTACCACACACATGTAGCACACATGTATGTACCACACACATGTATCACACATGTATGTACCACACGCATGTATCACACATGTATGTACCACACGCATGTATCACACATGTATGTATCACACGCATGTATCACACATGTATGTATCACACGCATGTATCACACATGTATGTATCACACGCATGTATCACACATGCATGTACCACACGCATGTAGCACACATGTATGTACCACACGCATGTATCACACATGTATGTACCACACGCATGTATCACACATGTATGTACCACACGCATGTAGCACACATGTATGTATCACACGTATGTATCACACATGTATGTACCACACTCATGTATCACACCTGTATGTATCACACGCATGTACAGCGCGCGTGTAGCACACGCGTGTATCACACATGTATGTACCATGCTCATGTATCACACATGTATGTATCACACGCATGTATCACACATGTATGTACCACACGCATGTATCACACATGTATGTACCACACGCATGTATCACACATGTATGTACCACACGCATGTATCACACATGTATGTATCACACGCATGTACAGCGCACGTGTACCACACGCATGTGCCACACATGTATGTATCACACGCATGTGCCACACATGTATGTACCACACGCATGTATCACACATGTATGTATCACACGCGTGTAGCACACATGTATGTACCACACGCATGTATCACACATGTATGTACCACACGCATGTATCACACATGTATGTATCACACGCATGTACAGCGTGCGTGTAGCGCATGCATGTGCCACACGTGTATGTACCACACGCATGTATCACACATGTATGTACCACACGCCTGACCCACAGTGACAGCTGCCACTGGGGGTGCCCCTAGGCTAGAGACCCACACAGCAGCAGCAGTAACCATCACCCTCCTACTGGCAGCAGACTGACACACAGAGACAGCTGCCACTGGGGGTGCCCCTAGGCTAGAGACCCACACAACAGCAGTAACCATCACCCTCCTACTGGCATCAGACTGACTACACAGAGACAGCTGCCACTGGGGGTGCCCCTAGGCTAGAGACCCACACAACAGCAGTGAGCATCACCCTCCTACAGGCATCAGACTGACTACACACAGGGACAGCTGCCACTGGGGGTGCCCCTAGGCTAGAGACCCACACAGCAGCCGGCACCACCACCCTCCTACTGGCATCAGACTGACTACACAGAGACAGCTGCCACTGGGGGTACCCCTAGGCTAGAGACCCACACAGCGGCAGGCACCACCACCCCATTCCACCCCCTACTCCCGAACGGGACTCCAACTCGGCGGGATGATCTTGCGTGGCCGCTCACAACGGAGGGCGTTGTGCGCTAACCGCTGCGCCACCGCTCCCTGCCCGTCAGGTGCCTGCAGAACAACGCGATCCGCCAGGTGGGCCTCAACGCACTCCGAGGACTCCACAGCCTCAAGTTCCTGTTGAGACTCGCATCAGGCGCTCAGCCCGCCCGCTCACTCACCCACCAGCTCACCCGCTCACCCATCAGCTCACCCACCAGCTCACCCACTCACCCACCAGCTCAAGCACTCACCCACCAGCTCAACCACTCACTCACTCACCCGCTCACCCACTCACTCACTCACCCACTCACCCACTCACTCACTCACTCACCCACTCACCCACCAGCTCAACCACTCACCCACCAGCTCACCCGCTCACCCGCTCACCCACTCACCCACTCACCCACCAGCTCACCCACTCACCCACCAGCTCACCCGCTCACCCACGCACTCACACACTCACTCACCCACTCACCCACCAGCTCAACCACTCACCCACTCACCCACCAGCTCAACCACTCACTCACTCACCCGCTCACCCACTCACTCACTCACCCACTCACCCACTCACTCACTCACTCACCCACTCACCCACCAGCTCAACCACTCACCCACCAGCTCACCCGCTCACCCGCTCACCCACTCACCCACTCACCCACCAGCTCACCCACTCACCCACCAGCTCACCCGCTCACCCACGCACTCACACACTCACTCACCCACTCACCCACCAGCTCAACCACTCACCCACTAGCTCACCCGCACACCCACCAGCTCACCCACTCACCCGCTCACCCACTCACTCACTCACCCACTCACCCACTCACTCACCCACTCACCCTCTCATCCACCAGCTCACTCACCCACCAGCTCACCCACTCACCCACCAGCTCACCCACTCACCCATCCACTCACCCACTCACCCACCAGCTCACCCGCTCACCCATCAGCTCGCCTGCTCACTCACCGGATCAGCCACTAAACTCACCAGCTCACCCACCAGCTCACCCACTCACCCATCCACTCACCCACCAGCTCACCCACCAGCTCGCCTGCCCACTCACCAGATCAGCCACTACACTCACCAGCTCACTCAGCCACTCACCAGCTCACTCACCCGCTCACCAACTCACCCATCCACTCACCCACTCACCCACCATCTCACCCACTCACCCATCTACTCACCCATCCACTCACCCACCAGCTCACCCACCAGCTCACCCGCTCACCCATCCACTCACCCACCAGCTCACCCACCAGCTCACCCACTCACCCATCCACTCACCCACCAGCTCACCCACCAGCTCGCCTGCCCACTCACCAGATCAGCCACTACACTCACCAGCTCACTCAGCCACTCACCAGCTCACTCACCCGCTCACCAACTCGCTCCTCCCTCTACCTGTGACCCCTGCCATGACCTCTGCCCGTGACCTCTAGCGTGACCCCTCCCCATGACTTCTGCCCGTGACTCCTGACGTGACCCCTGCCCGTGACCCTTGCCCATGACCTCTACCTGTGACCCCTGCCGTGACCTCAGCCCGTGACCTCTAGCGTGACCCCTCCCCATGACTTCTGCCCGTGAATCCTGACGTAACCCCTGCCCGTGACCTCTACCTGTGACCCCTGCCGTGACCTTTGCCCGTGACCTCTAGCGTGACCCCTGCCCATGACTTCTGCCCGTGACTCCTGACGTGACCCCTGCCCGTGACCCCTGCCCATGACCTCTACCTGTGACCCCTGCCGTACCTCTGCCCGTGACCTCTAGCGTGAACCCTGCCCATGACTTCTGCCCGCGACTCCTGACGTGACCCCTGCCGTGACCTCTGCCCATGATCTCTACCTATGACCCCTGCCGTGCCCCCTGCCGTGACCTCTGCCCGTGACCCCTGTGCGGTCGCAGGTACCTGAGTGAGAACCACATCTCATCGCTAAGAGCCGGAGTGTTCAGGGACCTGGGCCGACTCGAATGGCTGTGAGGGACACACACGACACTCCCATCACCATCACCACCCCCATCACCATCACCACCACCATCACCATCACCACCATCATCACCATCATCACCGTCACCACCACCCCCATCACCATCACCACCATCACTCCCATCACCATCACCACCCCCATCACCGTCACCACCATCACCACCACCACCATTACCACCATCACCATCATCACCATCGCCACCATCACCATCACCACCATCACCACCATCACCATCGCCACCATCACCATCACCACCCCCATCACCATCATCACCATTCACCATCACCACTCCCATCACCATCATCACCACCATCACCATCACCACCATCACCATCACCACTCCCATCACCATCATCACCATCACCACTCCCATCACTATCATCACCATCATAACCATCACCACCATCACCATCATCACCATCACCATCACCACTCCCATCACTATCATCACCACCATCACCACCATCACCACTCCGATCACCATCATCACCATCACCACTCCCATCACTATCATCACCATCATCACCATCACCACCATCACCACCACCCCCATCACCATCACCACCATCACCACCACCACCATCATCACCATCATCACCATCACCACCATCACTATCACCACCATCACCACCATCACCATCACCGTCACCACCATCACTATCACCACCATCACCACCACCCCCATCACCACCATCACCATCACCCCCATCACCATCACCGTCACCACCATCACCACCACCCCCATCACCACCATCACCATCACCCCCATCACCATCACCACTCCCATCACCATCACCACCATCACCGTCACCACCATCACCACCACCCCCATCACCACCATCACCATCATCACCACCATCACCATCATCACCGTCACCATCACCATCATCACCATCACCACCATCACCATCACCACCATCACCATCACCACCATCACCATCACCCCCATCACCATCACCACCATCACCACAATCATCACCACCATCACAATCACCACAATCACCACCACTCCCATCACCACCATCACCACCACCCCCATCACCACCACCATCACCACCATCACCATCACCACCATCACCACCACCATCACCATCCCCACCATCACCGTCACCACCATCACCACCACCCCCATCACCACCACCCCCATCACCATCACCACCCCCATCACCATCACCACCATCACCATCACCACCACCTCCATCATCATCACCACCATCACCACCACCCCCATCACCATCACCCCCATCACCATCACCACCCCCATCACCATCACCACCATCACCATCACCACCATCACCATCACCGTCACCACCATCACCACCACCCCCATCACCACCACCCCCATCACCATCACCATCACCACCCCCATCACCATCACCACCATCACCATCACCACCACCCCCATCACCATCATCATCACCACCATCACCACCACCCCCATCACCACCACCCCCATCACCACCACCCCCATCACCGTCACCATCACCCCCATCACCATCACCACTCCCATCACCATCACCACCCTCACCATCACCCCCATCACCATCACCACCCCCATCACCATCACCACCATCACCATCACCACCACCCCCATCACCATCATCATCACCACCATCACCACCACTCCCATCACCACCACCCCCATCACCACCACCCCCATCACCGTCACCATCACCCCCATCACCATCACCACTCCCATCACCATCACCACCATCACCATCACCCCCATCACCACCACCACCACCACCACCCCCATCACCATCACCATCATCACCACCATCACCACCACCCCCATCACCACCACCCCCATCACCACCACCCCCATCACCGTCACCATCACCCCCATCACCACTCCCATCACCATCACCACCATCACCATCACCCCCATCACCACCACCACCATCACCCCCATCACCATCACCATCATCACCCCATCACCGTCACCACCACCCCCATCACCATCACCGTCACCACCATCACCACCACCCCCATCACCACCACCCCCATCACCATCACCACCATCACCATCACCACCATCACCACCACCCCCATCACCATCACCACCACCACCACCATCACCACCACCCCCATCACCACCCCCATCACCATCACCACCATCACCATCACCGCCATCACCATCACTACCATCACCATCACCACCCCCATCACCATCACCACCACCCCCATCACCACCACCCCCATCACCACCCCCATCACCATCACCACCATCACCATCACCGCCACCCCCATCACCATCACCACCCCCATCACCACCACCACCACCCCCATCACCATCACCACCACCCCCATCACCACCCCCATCACCATCACCACCATCACCACCACCCCCATCACCATCACCGCCACCCCCATCACCATCACCACCCCCATCACCACCACAACCCCCATCACCCCCATCACGACCACCCCCATCACCATCACCACCCCCATCACCACCACCACCACCACCCCCATCACCTCCATCACCACCATCACCACCATCACCATCACCACCCCCATCACCCCCATCACCACCACCCCCATCACCACCCCCATCACCCCCATCAGCACCCCATCACCACCACCCCCCCCATCACCATCACCACCATCACCACCCCCATCACCATCACCACCCCCATCACCATCACCACCATCACCACCCCCATCACCATCACCACCCCCATCACCACCCCTATCACCATCACCACCACCACCACCACCACCACCCCCATCACCACCATCACCAACCCCATCACCACCCCCATCACCATCACCACCACCCCCATCACCCCCATCACCACCACCACCACCACCACCCCCATCACCCCCATCACCACCACCACCACCCCCATCACCCCCATCACCACCACCACCCCCATCAGCACCCCCATCACCACCACCCCCATCACCATCCCCATCACCACCCCCATCACCACCCCCATCACTGACACCACCCCTCCACGTGTCTGCAGGATGTTGGACCACAATGCATTAGCCCACGTGACGCAGGCAACTTTCACGGGACTGCCGTCCCTCGTCTTCCTGTGAGTGGCACCGCCACGCCCGGCCGCCTTTGTCTCTGCCGCACTGCTAATGTGTTAGGGGACACACCAGACAAAGGTCCTGCCACGTGTAGCCTCTAGCAGGCTGTAGGGGCAAGTGCTGTCAGTGGGTAGCGAGTAGCAGCAGCAGCGGTGTCTATGATGATGATGTTGATGATGGTGATGATGATGGTGATGATGATGGTGATGATGTTGTTGATGTAAATGATGATGATGTTGATGTTAATGATGATGATGATGTTGATGTTAATGATGATGATGTTGATGATGTTGGTGATGTTGATGATGTTGATGTTGATGATGATGTTGATGATGTTGATGTTAATGATGATGATGTTGATGATGATGTTGGTGATGTTGATGATGTTAATGATGATGTTGATGTTAATGATGATGATGTTGATGATGTTGATGTTGTTGATGATGATGTTGATGGTGATGTTGATGATGTTGATGATGTTAATGATGATGATGTTAATGATGATGTTGATGATGTTGATGATGATGTTGATGATGATGTTAATTATGATGATGTTGATGATGATGTTGATGGTGGTGGTGATGTGCCCAGGTATCTGCTGAACAACTCCCTGACTGAGCTCCCTCGCCTCTCGCTCTGCAAGGAGATGCCGCGCCTCAACTGGCTGTGAGCCTGCCACGAGCCCATTGTTTCCTTCGGGCAGTTTGGCAAAGTTACAAACCCCGCCACGAGAATAGTCACCCACTCACCCCCTGCCCCGCCCACTCACCCCCTGCCCCGCCCACTCACCCCCTGCCCCGCCCACCTCACCCCCTGCCCCGCCCACCTCACACCCCTGGCCCGCCCACCTCACCCCCTGCCCCGCCCACCTCACCCCTCTGCCCCGCCCACCTCACCCCCCTGCCCTGCCCACCTCACCCACTGCCCCGCCAACCTCACCCCCTGCCCCGCCCACCTCACCCCTTGCCCCGCCCACCTCACCCCCTGCCCCGCCCACCTCACCCCCGGCCCCGCCCATCTTACCCCCCTGCCCCGCCGACCTCACCCCCTGCCCCGCCCACTCACCCCCTGCCCCGCCCACTCACCCCCTGCCCCGCCCATCTCACCCCCTGCCCCGCCCACCTCACCCCCCTGCCCCGCCCACCTCACGCCCTGCCCCGCCCACCTCACCCCCTGCCCCACCCACCTCACCCCCTGCTTCTCCCACCTCACCCCCTGCCCCGCCCACCTTACCCCCTGCCCCGCCCACCTCACCCCCTGCCCCGCCCACCTCACCCCCTGCCCCGCCCACCTCACCCCCTGCCCCGCCCACCTCACCCCATGCCCCGCCCACCTCACCCACTGTCGTGCCCACCTCACCCCCTGCCCCGCCCACCTCACCCCCTGCCCCGCCCACCTCACCCACTGTCGTGCCCACCTCACCCCCCTGCCCCGCCCACCTCACACCCCTGCCCAGCCCCCACCTCACCCCCTGCCCCGCCCACCTCACCCCCTGCCCCGCCCACCTCACCCCCCTGCCCCGCCCACCTCACACCCCTGCCCCGCCCCCACCTCACCCCCTGCCCCTCCCATCTCACCCCCTGCCCCGCCCCCAACTCACCCCCTGCCCCCCCTCCCCCGCCAGTGACCTGGAGTCGAACCGGATCAAGGACGTCAGGAACTCCACCTTCATGGGCTGTGAGCAGCTCACCGTGCTGTGAGTCCCTCACCTCGTCACTCACCTTGTCACTCACCTCGTCACTCACCTTGTCACTCACCTCGTCACTCACTCACCTCGTCACTCACTCACTCACCTCGTCCCTCACCTCGTCACTCACCTTGTCACTCACCTCGTCACTCACCTTGTCACTCACCTCGTCACTCACTCACCTCGTCACTCACCTTGTCACTCACCTCGTCACTCACTCACCTCGTCACTCACTCACTCACCTCGTCCCTCACCTCGTCACTCACCTTGTCACTCACCTCGTCACTCACCTTGTCACTCACCTCGTCACTCACTCACCTCGTCACTCACCTTGTCACTCACCTCGTCACTCACTCACCTCGTCACTCACTCACTCACCTCGTCACTCACCTCGTCACTCACCTCGTCACTCACTCACCTCGTCACTCACTCACCTCGTCACTCACCTCGTCACTCACCTCGTCACTCACCTCGTCACTCACTCACTCACCTCGTCACTCACCTCGTCACTCACTCACTCACCTCGTCACTCACCTCGTCACTCACCTCGTCACTCACCTCGTCACTCACTCACCTCGTCACTCATCTCGTCACTCACATCGTCACTCACCTCGTCACTCACCTCATCACTCACTAACCTCGTCACTCACCTCCTCACTCACCTCGTCACTCACCTCGTCACTCACCTCGTCACTCGCCTCGTCACTCACTCACCTCGTCACTCAATCACCTCTTCACTCACCTCGTCACTCACTCACCTCGTCACTCACCTCGTCACTCACTCACCTCGTCACTCACTCACCTCGTCACTCACCTCGTCACTCACTCACCTCGTCACTCACCCACCTCGTCACTCACTCACCTCGTCACTCACCTCGTCACTCACTCACCTCGTCACTCACCTCGTCACTCACCTCGTCACTCACCTCGTCACTCGCCTCGTCACTCACTCACCTCGTCACTCAATCACCTCTTCACTCACCTCGTCACTCACTCACCTCGTCACTCACCTCGTCACTCACTCACCTCGTCACTCACTCACCTCGTCACTCACTCACCTCGTCACTCACCTCGTCACTCACTCACCTCGTCACTCACCCACCTCGTCACTCACTCACCTCGTCACTCACCTCCTCAATCACTCACCTCGTCACTCACCCACCTCGTCACTCACTCACCTCGTCACTCACCTCGTCACTCACTCACCTCGTCACTCACCTCGTCACTCACCTCGTCACTCACCTCGTCACTCACTCACCTCGTCACTCACCTCGTCACTCACCTCGTCACTCACTCACCTCGTCACTCACCTCGTCACTCACCTCGTCACTCACTCACCTCGTCACTCACCTCGTCACTCATCTCGTCACTCACCTCGTCACTCACTCACCTCGTCACTCACCTCGTCACTCACCTCGTCACTCACCTCATCACTCACTCACCTCGTCACTCACCTCGTCACTCACCTCGTCACTCACCTCATCACTCACTCACTTCGTCACTCACCTCCTCACTCACCTCGTCACTCACCTCGTCACTCACCTCGTCACTCGCCTCGTCACTCACTCACCTCGTCACTCAATCACCTCTTCACTCACCTCGTCACTCACTCACCTCGTCACTCACCTCGTCACTCACTCACCTCGTCACTCACCTCCTCACTCACTCACCTCGTCACTCACCTCGTCACTCACCTCGTCACTCACTCACCTCGTCACTCACCTCGTCACTCACCTCGTCACTCACTCACCTCGTCACTCACCTCGTCACTCACCTCGTCACTCACCTCGTCACTCACTCACCTCGTCACTCACCTCGTCACTCACCTCGTCACTCACCTCGTCACTCACTCACCTCGTCACTCACCTCGTCACTCACCTCGTCACTCACTCACCTCGTCACTCACCTCGTCACTCATCTCGTCACTCACCTCGTCACTCACTCACCTCGTCACTCACCTCGTCACTCACCTCGTCACTCACCTCGTCACTCACTCACCTCGTCACTCACCTCGTCACTCACCTCGTCACTCACTCACCTCGTCACTCACCTCGTCACTCATCTCGTCACTCACCTCGTCACTCACTCACCTCGTCACTCACCTCGACACTCACCTCGTCACTCACCTCGTCACTCACCTCGTCACTTCCGCCTTTGTATCCCCTCCCCCACCCCTTTCAGGATCCTGAGGGACAACCGGATCCAGGCCCTAGCGGAGCGAACATTCAACCCACTCCTCAATCTGGGAGACTTGTGAGTAGCTCACTCACCAACTCACTCACTCACCAACTCACTCACCAACTCACTCACCAACTCACTCACCAACTCACCAACTCACTCACCCACTCACTCACTTACCAACTCGCTCACTCACCCACTCACTCACTCACCAACTCACTCACCAACTCACCAACTCACTCACCAACTCACTCACCAACTCACTCACCCATTCACTCACCAACTCACTCACCAACTCACTCACTCACCAACTCACTCACCAACTCACTCACCAACCCACTCCTCAATCTGGGAGACTTGTGAGTAGCTCACTCACCAACTCACTCACCAACTCACTCACCAACTCACTCACCAACTCACTCACCCATTCACTCACCAACTCACTCACCAACTCACCAACTCACTCACCAACTCACTCACCAACTCACCAACTCACTCACCAACTCACTCACCAACTCACTCACTCACCAACTCACTCACCAACTCACTCACCAACTCACTCACTCACCAACTCACCAACTCACTCACCAACTCACTCACCAACTCACTCACCAACTCACCAACTCACACACTCACTCACCAACTCACTCACCAACTCACTCACCAACCCACTCCTCAATCTGGGAGACTTGTGAGTAGCTCACTCACCAACTCACTCACCAACTCACTCACTCACCAACTCACTCACCAACTCACTCACCAACTCACTCACCAACTCACTCCTCAATCTGGGAGACTTGTGAGTAGCTCACTCACCAACTCACTCACCAACTCACTCACCAACTCACTCACCAACTCACTCAACAACTCACTCACCCACTCACTCACTCACTCACCAACTCACTCACCAACTCACTCACCAACTCACTGACCCACTGACTCACTCACTCACCAACTCGCTCACTCACTCACTCACCAACTCACTCACCCACTCACTCACTCACCAACTCGCTCACTCACTCACTCACTCACCCACTCACCAACTCACTCATCAACTCACTCACTCACCCACTCACTCACTCACTCACCAACTCGCTCACTCACTCACTCACCCACTTACTCACCAACTCATTCATCAACTCACTCACTCACCAACTCACTCACCCACTCACTCACCAATTCACTCACCAACTCACACACTCACCAACTCGCTCACTCACTCACTCACCCACTCACTCACCCACTAATTCACTCAGCAACTCGCTCACTCACTCAATCACTCAACAACTTACTCACCAACTCACTCACTCACCAACTCGCTCACTCGCTCACTCACTCACTCACCAACTCACTCACCAACTCACTCACTCACTCGTCAACTCGCTCACTCGCTCATTCACTCACCAACTCACTCACCAACTCACTCAATAACTCACTCACTCACCAACTCACTCGCTCACTCACTCACTCACTCACCCGCTCACTCACCCACTCACTCACCCACTCACCCACTCACTCACCCACTCACTCACTAACTCACTCACCAACTCACTCACTCACCAACTTGCTCACTCCCTCACCAACTCACTCACCCACTCACTCACCCACCCACTCACTCACCCACTCACCCACTTACTCACTCACTCGCCAACTCACTCACTCACCCACTCACTCACTCATCCACCCACTCACTCACTCACCCACCCACTCACTCACCCACCCACTCACCCAGTCGCTCAATCACCCACTCACCAACTCACCCACTCGCTCAATCACCCACTCACTCACCAACTCACTCACTCACCAACTCACTCACTCACCCACTCACTCACCCACTCACCAACTCACTCACTCACTCACCCACTCACTCACTTACTCACCCTCTCACTCACCCACTCACTCACCCACTCAACCACCCACTCACTCACCCACTCACCCACTTACTCACTCACTCACACACCAACTCACTCACTCACCTACTCACTCACCCACTCACCCACTTACTCACCCACTCACTCACTCACCCACCCACTCACTCACCCACTCACCCACTTACTCAACCACTCACCCGCTCACTCGCTCACCCACTCGCTCACCCACTCGCTCACTCACCCACTCACCAACCCGCTCACCCACTCACTCACCCACTCGCTCACCCACTCACTCACCCAGTCGCTCACTCACCCACTCACTCACCCACTCGCCCACTCACCCACTCGCTCACCCACTCGCTCACCCTCTCACCTGCTCACCTGCTCACTGGCTCACTCACTCGCTCACTCACCCACTCGCTCACTCACTCACCGGCTCACTCACCCACTCGCTCACTCACCCACTTGCTCACCCGCTCGCTCACCCACTCGCTCACTCACCCACTCACCCACCCACTCACCCACTTGCTCACCCGCTCACTCACCCACTCGCTCACTAACCCACTCGCTCACCCACTCGCTCACTCACCCACTCACCCACTCACTGACTCACCCACCCACTCACTCACCAACTCACCCGCTCACTCACCCACTCGCTCACTAACCCACTTGCTCACCCGCTCGCTCACCCACTCGCTCACTCACCCACTCACCCACCCACTCACCCACTTGTTCACCCGCTCACTCACCCACTTGCTCACTAACCCACTTGCTCACCCACTCGCTCACTCACCCACTCACCAACTCACCCACTCACTGACTCACCCACCCACTCATTCACCAATTCACCCGCTCACTCACCCACTCGCTCACTAACCCACTTGCTCACCCGCTCGCTCACCCACTCACCCACTCACCCACTCACTGACTCACCCACCCACTCATTCACCAATTCACCCGCTCACTCACCCACTCGCTCACTAACCCACTCGCTCACCCACTCGCTCACTCATCCACTCACCCACTCACTGACTCACCCACCCACTCATTCACCAACTCACCCGCTCACTAACCCACTCGCTCACTCACCCACTCGCTCACTCACCCACTCACCCACCCGCTCACCCACTCACTCGTCCACTCGCTCACCCACTCACTCACCCAGTCGCTCACTCACCCACTCACTCACCCACTCGCCCACTCACCCACTCGCTCACCCACTCGCTCATCCTCTCACCTGCTCACCTGCTCACTCGCTCACTCACTCGCTCACTCACCCACTCGCTCACTCACTCACCCGCTCATTCACCCACTTGCTCACTCACCCACTTGCTCACCCGCTCGCTCACCCACTCGCTCACTCACCCACTCACCCACCCACTCACCCACTTGCTCACCCGCTCACTCACCCACTCGCTCACTAACCCACTCGCTCACTAACCCACTCGCTCACTCACTGACTCACCCACCCACTCACTCACCAACTCACCCGCTCACTCACCCACTCGCTCACTCACCCACTTGCTCACCCGCTCGCTCACCCACTCGCTCACTAACCCACTCGCTCACTAACCCACTCGCTCACTCACTGACTCACCCACCCACTCACTCACCAACTCATCCGCTCACTCACCCACTCGCTCACTCACCCACTTGCTCACCCGCTCGCTCACCCACTCGCTCACTAACCCACTCGCTCACTAACCCACTCGCTCACTCACTGACTCACCCACCCACTCACTCACCAACTCACCCGCTCACTCACCCACTCGCTCACTCACCCACTTGCTCACCCGCTCGCTCACCCACTCGCTCACTAACCCACTCACCCACTCACTCACCAACTCACCCGCTCACTCACCCACTCGTTCACTCACCCACTTGCTCACCCGCTCGCTCACCCACTCACCACGCCCGGGGCTGCAGGGATCTGTCGAGGAATCTGATAGAGCGACTTCCACGGAGAATCTTTAACGACTTGCGAAACCTGCAGCAGCTGTGAGTTGCACCACCACGTCCACCATCACTTCCACCACCACGTCCACCATCAACACCTCCACCATCACCTCCACCATCACCTCCACCATCACCATCACATCCACCACCACCTCCACCATCACCATCACCATCACCTGCACCATCACCTACGTCACGTCCACCATCACGTCCACCATCACCTCCACCATCACGTCCACCATCACCTCCACCATCACCTCCACCATCACCTCCACCATCCTCTCCACCATCACCTCCTCCACCACGTCCACCTCCACCATCACCATCACCTCCACCATCACCTCCACCATCCCCTCCACCATCACCTCCTCCACCACGTCCACCACCACCTCCACCATCACCTCCACCATCCCCTCCACCATCACCATCACCTCCACCATCACCTCCACCATCACCATCACCTCCATCATCACCTCCACCATCACCTCCACCATCACCTCCACCATCACCATCACCTCCACCATCACCTCCACCATCACCATCACCTCCACCACCACCTCCACCATCACCTCCACCATCACCTCCACCATCACCATCACCTCCACCATCACCTCCACCATCACCATCACCTCCACTATCACCTCCACCATCACCTCCACCACCACCTCCACCATCACCTCCACCATCCCCTCCACCATCACCATCACCTCCACCATCACCTCCACCATCACCATCACCTCCACTATCACCTCCACCATCACCTCCACCATCACCTCCACCATCACCTCCACCATCCTCTCCACCATCACCATCACCTCCACCGTCACCTCCACCATCCCCTCCACCATCACCTCCTCCACCACGTCCACCACCACCTCCACCATCACCTCCACCATCACCTCCACCATCACCTCCACCATCACCATCACCTCCATCATCACCTCCATTATCACCATCACCTCCACTATCACCTCCACCATCACCTCCACCATCACCTCCACCATCACCTCCACCATCACCATCACCTCCACCATCACCTCCACCATCACCTCCACCATCACCATCACCTCCATCATCACCTCCACCATCACCATCACCTCCACTATCATCTCCACCACCACCTCCACCATCACCTCCACCATCCCCTCCACCATCACCATCACCTCCACCATCACCTCCACCATCACCATCACCTCCACTATCACCTCCACCATCACCTCCACCATCACCTCCACCATCACCTCCACCATCCTCTCCACCATCACCATCACCTCCACCATCCCCTCCACCATCACCTCCTCCACCACGTCCACCACCACCTCCACCATCACCTCCACCATCACCTCCACCATCACCTCCACCATCACCATCACCTCCATCATCACCTCCACCATCATCATCACCTCCACTATCACCTCCACCATCACCTCCACCATCACCTCCACCATCACCTCCACCATCCTCTCCACCATCACCATCACCTCCACCATCACCTCCACCATCACCTCCACCATCACCTCCACCATCACCATCACCTCCATCATCACCTCCACCATCACCATCACCTCCACTATCACCTCCACCATCACCTCCACCATCACCTCCACCATCACCTCCACCATCCTCGCCACCATCACCTCCTCCACCACGTCCACCTCCACCTCCACCATCACCTCCACCATCCCCTCCACCATCACCTCCTCCACCACGTCCACCACCACCTCCACCATCACCTCCACCATCACCTCCACCATCACCTCCACCTCCTCTACCACGTCCACAACGGCGTGACGTCACAACGGCGTGACGTCACAACGGCGTGACGTCACAACGCCGTGACGTCACCACGCCGTGACGTCACCACGCCGTGACGTCACCACGCCGTGACGTCACCACGCCGTGACGTCACCACGCCGTGACGTCACCACGCCGTGACGTCACCACGCCGTGACGTCTCAACCTTGTGGTGACCCCCTGGTGACCCCCTGGTGACCTCTTAGGAACATCTCCTTCAACCCGCTGCGCCGAATCCACGTGGAGCAGTTCGCAAAGTTGAAGCAGCTTCGGTCTTTGTGAGACATTCACACAAACACACAGATACATACACACAGATACACACACATACACACATTCACACAAACACACAGATACATACACACAGATACACACACACACATACACACATTCACACAAATACATACAGATACATACACACAGATACATACACACACATACACACATTCACACAGATACATACAGATACATACACACACATACACACACACACATACACACATTCACACAGATACATACACACACATACACACATTCACACACATACATACAGATACATACACACAGATACATACACACAGATACATACACACACATACACACATTCACACAGATACATACACACAGATACATACACACAGATACATACACACACATACACACATTCACACAAACACACAGATACATACACACAGATACATACACACACATACACACATTCACACAGATACATACACACAGATACATACACACAGATACATACACACACATACACACATTCACACAGATACATACACACAGATACATACACACACATACACACATTCACACAAACACACAGATACATACACACAGATACATACAGATACATACACACAGATACATACATATACATACACACAGATACATACACACACATACACACATTCACACAAATACATACAGATACATACACACAGATACATACACACACATACACACATTCACACAAACACATACAGATACATACACACAGATACATACACACACATACACACATTCACACAGATACATACAGATACATACACACAGATACACACACACACATACACACATTCACACAAACACACAGATACATACACACAGATACACACACACACATACACACATTCACACAGATACATACACACACATACATACACACACATACACACATACACATACACACATTCACACAAACACACAGATACATACACACAGATACACACACACACATACACACATTCACACAAACACACAGATACATACACACAGATACACACACACACATACACACATTCACACAAATACACACAGATACATACACACAGATACACACACACACACATACACACATTCACACAAACACACAGATACATACACACAGATACACACACACACATACACACATTCACACAAATACATACAGATACATACACACAGATACATACACACAGATACATACACACACATACACACATTCACACAAATACATACACACACATACACACATTCACACAAACACACAGATACATACACACAGATACATACACACACATACACACATTCACACAAATACATACACACAGATACATACACACACATACACACATTCACACAAACACACAGATACATACACACAGATACATACACACACATACACACATTCACACAAATACATACAGATACATACACACAGATACATACACACACATACACACATTCACACAAACACACAGATACATACACACAGATACATACACACACATACACACATTCACACAGATACATACACACAGATACATACACACACATACACACATTCACACAGATACATACACACAGATACATACACACACATACACACATTCACACAAACACACAGATACATACACACAGATACATACACACACATACACACATTCACACAAACACACAGATACATACACACACATACACACAGATACATACACACAGATACATACACACACATACACACATTCACACAAATACACACAGATACATACACACAGATACACACACACACACATACACACATTCACACAAACACACAGATACATACACACAGATACATACACACACATACACACATTCACACAAATACATACAGATACATACACACAGATACATACACACACATACACACATTCACACAAACACACAGATACATACACACAGATACATACACACACATACACACATTCACACAAACACACAGATACATACACACAGATACATACACACACATACACACATTCACACAAACACACAGATACATACACACAGATACATACACACACATACACACATTCACACAAATACATACAGATACATACAGATACATACACACACATACACACAGATACATACACATTCACATACACACATTCACATAGATACATACACACAGATACATACACACACATACACACATTCACACAAACACACAGATACATACACACAGATACATACACACACACATACACACATTCACACAAACACACAGATACATAAATACAGATACATACACACAGATACATACACACACATACACACATTCACACAGATACATACAGATACATACACACAGATACATACACACACATACACACATTCACACAAATACACACAGATACATACACACAGATGCATACACACAGATACATACACACAGATACACACATTCACACAAATACATACAGATACATACACACAAATACACACACAGATTCATACAGATACATACACACAGATACATACAGATACATACACACAGATACATACACACAGATACATACACACACATACACACATTCACACAAATACATACAGATACATACACACAGATACATACAGATACATACACACAGATACATACACACACATACACACATTCACACAAACACACAGATACATACACACAGATACATACACACACATACACACATTCACACAAATACATACAGATACATACACACAGATACATACACACAGATACATACACACACATACACACATTCACACAAATACATACAGATACATACACACAGATACACACACACACATACACACATTCACACAAATACATACAGATACATACACACAGATACATACACACAGATACATACACACACACACATTCACACAAATACATACAGATACAAACACACAGATACATACACACAGATACATACACACATACACACATTCACACAAATACACACAGATACATACACACAGATACATACACACACATACACACATTCACACAAATACATACAGATACATACAAACAGATACACACACAGATTCATACAGATACATACACACAGATACATACACACACACATACACACATTCACACAAATACACACAGATACATACACACAGATACATACACACACATACACACATTCACACAAATACACACAGATACATACACACAGATACATACACACACATACACACATTCACACAAATACATACAGATACATACACACAGATACACACACAGATTCATACAGATACACACACACAGATACATACAGATACATACACACAGATACATACACACACATACACACATTCACACAAATACATACAGATGCATACACACAGATACACACACACAGATTCATACAGATACATACACATAGATACATACAGATACATACACACAGATACACACACAGATTCATACAGATACATACACACAGATACATACAGATACATACACACACATACACACATTCACACAGATACATACAGATACATACACACAGATACATACAGATACATACACACAGATACACACACAGATACACACATTCACACAGATACATACAGATACATACATACAGACACACACACAAATACACAGATACATACACACAGATACACACACACACATACACACATTCACACAGATACATACAGATACATACACACAGATACATACACACAGATACACACACACATACACACATTCACACAGATACATACAGATACATACACACAGATACACACAGATTCATACAGATACATACACACAGATACATACAGATACATACACACAGATTCATACAGATACATACACACAGATACATACAGATACATACACACATACACACAGAAACATACACACACATACACCTATTCACACAGATACATACAGATGCATACACACAGATACATACAGATACATACACACAGATACATACACACAGATACACACACACAGATACACACATTCACACAGATACATACAGATACACACACACACAAATACACAGATACATACACACAGCTACACACACACATACACACATTCACACAGATACATACAGATACATACACACAGATACATACACACAGATACGCACACATTCACACAGATACATACAGATATATACACACAGATACACACAGATACATACACACACAGATACATACAGATACAAACACACAGATACACACACACGGATACATACAGATATATACACACAGATACACACACACACATACACACATTCACACAGATACATACAGATACGTACACACAGATATATACACACACAGATACATACAAATACATACACACAGATACACACATTCACACAGATACATACAGATACATACACAAAGATACATACACACAGAGATACATACACACAGATACACACAGATACACACAGATACATACACACACAGATACACACAGATACACACACACATACACACATTCACACAGATACATACAGATACATACACACAGATACACACACACACACATACACACATTCACACAAACACACAGATACATACACACACATACACACATTCACACAAACACACAGATACATACACACAGATACACACACACACACATACACACATTCACACAAATACATACAGACACATACACACAGATACATACACACAGATACATACACACACACACATTCACACAAATACATACAGATACAAACACACAGATACATACACACAGATACATACACACACATACACACATTCACACAAATACACACAGATACATACACACAGATACATACACACACATACACACATTCACACAAATACATACAGATACATACACACAGATACACACACACAGATTCATACAGATACATACACACAGATACATACACACACACATACACACATTCACACAAATACACACAGATACATACACACAGATACATACACACACATACACACA